GAGAAGAGTATTATGGATAATGATGATGACTGTTTACCGCCTTTGGTCGACGAGGTTGTCTTCAGAGAGTCAAGCACTCAAGAGACTGGTGACGAGGATTGGGTTCGTGAGTTGGAGAAGAGTATTATGGATAATGATGATGACTGTTTGCTGCCTTCGGTCGATGAGGTTGTTTTCGGAGAGTCGAGCACTCAAGAGATTGGTGACGAGGATTGGGTTCGTGAGCTCGAAGAGAGTATGGATCAAGATGGCGAGTCCCTCGAGAAGCCTATTGATGACGAGGAGGATTGGGTTCGTGAGCTCGAGGAGAGTATGGATTGCATCGAGAAGCCTATTGATGATGAGGGTCGATTTACGAACGAGTCGAATCCCGTGGACGAAAGTTTCGAAAAGGAGCTGATGGATTTCTTTGACTTTGAGCTGCCGGCCGACGAGCCCTCCCTGTGGGACAATCTACCTGACGATGGCCAATTTTTCTGGAAGGAAGACTACTCGACGAGTGATGTCCCCAACATGCCGATTATTGCCGCTAACTGATATGGGACTTGTTTGATTGATATTCTTCTTTTTTTTTTCTGATTTATGGGGTACTCTTTTTCCCGGTTGGAGATTTTTCCCACACGGGTTTTACTTCGATCGGGTTTTAACGAGGCCCCACTTTGCGCCACCTGGCCGGCGAGTTGTGGCCAGACCCTACTTGTAAAAAATTGCAAGAGGGAATGAAAAATGTATGTATTCCATCTGTTCATCATGACAAGAGCAAAGTGATCTGAATTTATTCTTAATGTATTCACTTTGTCACTTACAACTTTTTTCTAGAGTTGTTATTTGTTACATCTTCTGATGTGTGTCATTTTCTGTTCTTGAGATGTTTGCTGTAACTTGGTAATTTGTTGCATCTTTTCTTTTGAAGAGAATACTGAAAATGCTCTTGTTTAGCATATGTGAAATTACTAATATACCCATTACAAGATACACTATTATCCCTCACACCTTATATAGCAACCAAACACTCATCATAAAACCACAGACTGTTGTAGTAGATAATGTGTACTCTATCTGCTGCTGGTGTGGAATTTTCATGGCCCTCAACAAAACCAACACAACCCACTCAAATTCCTGCAAAAACCCTCAAATCCCCTAAACAACAAAATTTCAGAACAAGAAACCTCCTTTTTTTCTCCCAAGTTCCAATTTTTCTTCACACCCTTCATCTCTCATCCTCAGCTGCAGCTTTATCCTGTGACCCTTTTGATAAAACCATCAAGATCTCAAAAAATCCATGGCTTATGCACAGGCTCGCGCTTGCTGAGTTGGACCCTGCAACAGCCAAGCTGGCAATAGGGTTCTTGGGGCCCTTTTTGTCTGCGTTTGGGTTTCTGTTCATTGTGAGGATAGTGATGTCATGGTACCCAAAACTGCCCGTTGAGAAGTTCCCATATGTGATAGCTTATGCGCCGACAGAGCCTCTGCTTGTTCTGACAAGGAAGCTGATACCGCCGTTGGCCGGAGTTGATGTCACCCCTGTTGTCTGGTTTGGTCTGCTGAGCTTTCTCAATGAGATTTTGGTGGGCCCTCAGGGGCTTCTTGTTCTTTTGTCTCAGCAGGTTTAGAAAATTTTGCATCTTTCTTGAAAACAGTTTGTAGAGTTCAATTTGTGTGTTTGTGTGTTTTGACTGGTGAATGTATGTTGTTGTAGTGAAGATTGGGACTATATATGTTGTTGTTTCGATTTGCATTGAGTTTTGAAAGTTGTGTTTGAGTTTGGCTTTTGATTGATTAACTGGATTTGAATTCCAAACTAACCGGGTTGAGAAAAGGTTAAGAAAGGACTGCCTGAGATTAGGGCTGAGCAAAATCGAGCCTAAACCAAAACAAATCGAGCTGCAACGCATCGATATGTTGTTGTTTCGATTTGCATTGAGTTTTGAAAGTTGTGTTTGAGTTTGGCTTTTGATTGATTAACTGGATTTGAATTCCAAACTAACCGGGTTGAGAAAAGGTTAAGAAAGGACTGCCTGAGATTAGGGCTGAGCAAAATCGAGCCTAAACCAAAACAAATCGAGCTGCAACGCGCACTCGATGTGGCTCGATTCAGTTTTTTTTTTCCCATTTAGTGTAGATTTTTTGTCGGTTCGTTTTGTCCTTCACTGCAGTTCGGTTGTTATTTTTCACAAGCTCAATTTTTTTGTTTTGTTCAATTCGGTGCGATTTTGCAATGAACCGAACCAAATTAAATATAAATGTATAGAAAAAAAAAAGCAGAAACATAACTTTCAAATCAATGCGGTTAGTTTCGATTATTTCAGTGAAAAAAAATTCCAGTTCGATTTTCATTTAGGTTCGGTTTGACCTCGCTGCACCGGTGCTCACCCTTAACTTGAGGCTCTTTATTTTTATTTTTCTTTTCCCATTTGTGTTTTTTCTGCTTAGCTGATCAATAAAAGAATATTGAAATCCAAATAAGATGCTCTATAATGTTACAGACTAAATTTCTATGAAATAACATCAAGCATGAAGCATAAGAAAACTGACTGAATCTATAACTAAACAGACCAACACTTGATAAATACATCAAATTTGCTGACACCAATAATAAGTGGAAGTCCTCAGCTTTTGATGAACTCGAACGATTTTGAGTCCTATCGGCAATTCAACAGTTTCTTTTCTGGAAATGGATCGATTTTAGGCCGGAAAATGCTCGACATTCCTTGCAAATCTGATTCCACAAAGAAGATCCTTTGCAGTTTCCTTGTCCTACATAAAGTATCAATATGATGTCGGAGCTCAGAACCATCTTATACTACAAGTTAACTGAAATAATACACGTTTGCTAGAGATTATTACAGTCGCTAATCTTTATGTTTTGAACGAATTCGGAAAATATTCGAGCACCTTCCAAAATTATGAATACCCTCTTAGGCATTACAAACACCCAATTGATATTTTGACTTTTTTTGGAAACATCACCTTACTTGGATATATAATCTGCAGGCGCAAGTGAATGAAATCTAAAATGAACTTACAGGGCCCGTGTAGTCAAGAAGGCGAGTACAGTAAACATCGGCCTCGTCAAATTTCTTCCGAGCCTTACAATGTTGCGCTAAATACATCAAAGCCTCAACAATGTTCGACCCTTCTCTCCTCAGTCTCCATCCTCTCCAAATCCTTCATGTAATAAAATGCTGCCTCGTCAGCTCGTCCCAGTTCACAGTGAAGCCTCGCCAGCTGGCCCAAAGCAACAGCTTCCCTGTCATTACAATCAGCCGCCCATCCATAGCACTTAATTGCCTCCACAAACATGTCAAGTTGTTCAGTCTCGTAACACTGTGACATGGCAATCCACAGCCGAGAATTACTCGGCTGTAACAGTTTCTTGAAATAATGAAGAGCGTAAAAGGGCATTCCCGTCATCTCGTACACTTGTCCTAATCCACATCATGCTCGATAATCACACGGATTAATATCCATTGCCCATCGTTAGGCATCAATGGCTGATGATGTGTTCTTCATCTCAACGTACTCATGGCCCATAAGTGTTAACGTTATCAGTCTTGCCTAGAAGGCCTCGAGTTCAATCATTTCTTTTTCTTTTGCTTTTCTCCAGCCTTGTCATCAGGTGACAGTATAATTAGGGCTTTGCAAAAAAAATAAAATGCTCGCTTACGATTGAAAAAATAAAAAATAAAAAAAATGATACACATGCACACCAGCCAAAATAGCAAATTGTAAATGAGGTAGGGAAGTGTACGAGTGAGACGATATTAATGAGATCGCAAGTTCAAGAACACCTAAATACGATATCAGTTAATATTGTATCCAAAATCCACTATCTCACAATCAAGAGTCTTTTATATAAGACTCTCTTAATATTACAACATAACTTATTCTCCATGCTATCTATTAAGTAATAATGCTAATGATTATATCCCTTAATACTAATATTATATCCACACCATTCCTCTTGCTTGGGAAGGCTTCGCCCTCGAAGCTGCAACAAGAGCACCGACACCGGAGTCGTACCTATGGAATCCAATGCCCATCGTTCGAAATTAACACCATAAATACCACATCGTCCACCGTTCTAAAAAACACAGTTACTGCCAAGCATTGCGTTGTTGGGAGACTTCGGTATAGACAATAAAAAAAGTCCCAACAGCTATTGAGTTGCCGTGTCGACTCCGAAAAACCATCCATGGCCAAGATACTCCGAAAATTGGGTCCGACCGATGGTTGCCTATTCGAAGGTTCAACCTCTACGACGTTCCACGTGGGGACCATATCTCCGCAAATAAGTGTTTCCTTCACCGCGGTGGAAGCTCCTTCACCGGCCGGAAGCTCCTCATAAAAAATTGGCGGACCGTCGTACAATGACCCGTCAACTTGTTTTCCGTCGAATTCGAGGATGTCAACGCGAAATGGGCCCTCCCAGATCAAATTCCCTCAGCTTAGGCTCAAAGTCTTCGGCTCCATGACAGGCCCAAATAACACGCCAAAACCTAGCGCGACTCGTCACCAACGTCTGTCGGATGCAGCACGTCTCGCGACTTCTGCCGATCTCTCGAGATGACGTTGCGTTGTAGGTTCCAAACCAGCCGCAACTGTTCACCATCAATGTACATTGCGTCGCGCCCAATCCCAACCGCGTTGCCTCCTCGCTCATTCCTCTGTCGTCGCATTGACCGTCGCCATCATGTTCAAATCCATTCGCTGCATATTGCGGCTGTGACATGCGGGGCCCATGTCACGACCGCAGTATGCAGCAAATGGGTCAGCCTCGACGTGCGGGGGTGGATAATCGTCGAAGGGATTCACCTTTGATATTGTCTCCTTCCCATCTTCGTCGTCGGACGGTGGGTGTGGAGATCTCTAGCGAGGCGCTCTACCAGGACCACGTCCTCCACGAACTCCCCTGCGTACGCCCCGGTTGCCGGTGTCACGGCTTGTCTGCAAATCCTCAACCATGTTTTTAATCGTAAGAATCACTTAATCGATTCCCGTCGAAAGATCTTCAACACGACGATCCAATTGATTGATCTGGCGTCCGAAGCCCGTGGGTTGTCGACCCGGATGCTCAATAGTGGCGTCACGCCCGTCGATGTCGTCTATTTGTGGCGGCATTTTGAATCGTGCGGACTTCTGATACCAACTAATGTAAAAAAGCGTACGATATTAATGAGATCACAATTTTAAGAATACCTAAATACGATATCAATTCATATTTTATTCAAAATTCATGACCTCACAATAAAGCAGCATAAGGGTCATTTCTATAAGACTCTCAATATTAAAACTACCTATTAAATAATAACACTAATAATAATACTAGTGATTATACGGGCGAGTAAGTCATAGCAAAACATTATGCATGCTAGAGCTCAAAGCTAACTAAAAACATACAAATTACATAGTATAGCATGCAGATGCCTCATATTGAGCAAATCACAAATTCTTATGGCTGACACTGACAACATGGAAGAACCATCCAATTCCAGTGGGCTTCTTCAAAGCACAAATTTACTCGGCACAAATTGTCCAATGAAAGAGCCCAATTAGCTGTTTGGGCCTTGAGTCGAACCAAACCAAAGCGAGCTATTAATTTTGCCCAATAACCCACCAAGGTCAATCAAGTAATTTTACCAATCGAGGCGCGCGCCGCGCCCCCCAAAATCACCGTTGATGGATATATTCAAGTTCCCGCTTGTTTTCATGGCGGATTTTCAAACTTTCAAACAAAAAATCCCTCCAATTGAGCTTGTTTCCTCACAAAACCCTCGTCCCCGCCATCGTCAACAAACCCATTTCTTAACGGCCTCTGACAGTCTGTAGAAGCACACAGAGACACACGCTTTGGTGTGTGGAATCAAAATTTCTGGGTCGGATTAGCTTCTGGCCGGACGCTGGAGATTTAGTTGTAGCTCGAAATAATGGCTCTGCCCTCGACATATTCTGGGGCTACAGATTCTGGATCTGGAGACATACCGTACTGCCGTAAGCAGAAATCGCTCGGCCTCTTATGCTCCAAGTATGTATTTCTTGAATGATTGATTATCTGTGTGTGAAGTATGTTCATCTGGTGTGTGTAATTATAGATGTTTTTATGTGGGATTGAGGTTTTGTAAGAAAAAAGTAATTAAATTTAGCATTTTGTTTTCAGTTTTTTGAGGTTGTACAATCGAGATGGAGTTGAGACAATTGGGCTTGATGATGCAGCCTCAAAATTAGGTGCAGTCGCTTTCCCCTTTTTTTTTTTTTCGGTTGTGTTGAGAAAGTCATCTTTATGCTTTCCCTTTTATTCGGTTCTTTAAATTGTTTTTTATTTTTTGTTTATTTAAATTTCGATGAAAATTGTTTCCAGGGGTGGAAAGGAGGCGGATCTATGATATCGTGAATGTTTTGGAAAGTGTTGGTGTAAGAACTTCTGATTATTAGACACCTTTTTGAATTTTGTGACTAATAGAGAATCGGAACGCTTTTGGATCCATCTTTAGCTGACTGTTTTGAGTTTTTTCGTTTCTTGATTTCAGATTCTCTCCAGGAAGGCGAAAAATCGATACACGTGGAAAGGGTTTGGGGCGGTACCTACGACCTTAGAAGCCCTAAAGGTAATAACATTTTGTTTTAATGGTTTTCTGTATATTTTGAAGCTCGAGGACCCAATGAGTAATGACATATGAGTTATTCTATGTCTTGTTATCTGTTTCTTATATTTTCTCCTCATTTTAATTTGTGTGCATGGTGCAGAAAGAAGGGTTTAGGGATCATGGCCCTGCAGCTGATACAAGCTTCTCTGAGAAAGTATGTTTATCTTTGAGTTTTGTCCTTTTCATTTTCATTTTTCTTGTTTCTTATTTTCAAGGTATGCATTTTGATCAATTTATTTCATTGGGGTAAGGGAGTTTTCTTAATATGATTTTCTAACATAATAATAAATTGATATAAATTTTCTGTTTTCTTGAAATCAGATTTCAGATGAGGATGAAGATGAGATGTCGGATATGAACAGTTTAAGTCAAAAGTCAGATTCTAGTTCTGTTCCTAGATATCCCCTGCCACCTAAAACTGGTACTAATCTTAGCCGTGTTCGTCTAAGATAATGGGCTTGCTGATTGGTTCATCTTTGCTCATTAATATTGTTTAGTTTTTTCCCTTTTGGACATTGCACTTAAAAACTGATTTTCCTTATATCTAGGTGACAATAGGAAGGAAAAATCTCTTGGGCTTCTTACACAAAACTTTGTCAAGCTTTTCCTGTGTACTGATGTAAGTGTGTATTTTGATTACTAGTCTTTTGGTGACTTTATGAGCTTCAGTCCGAAAATTAATTTTGTTCCTTTTCAGCTGGAAATGATATCTCTAGATGAAGCTGCAAAGCTCTTGCTTGGTGATGGGAAACATACATCAATGACTACTAGAAGTAATGCACCTTTCGCATTTGGTTTCTTGTTTATCGCTTATGTGCTCTAACAAAGATAAAAGTTTATACTTCGTTAATGCGGTTTATGATGCACCTTTGCAGCAAAAGTTAGAAGGCTGTATGATATCGCCAACGTGTTATCCTCCATGAAATTTATTGAGAAGGTATATTTCATCTGATTTAGAGGCATGCTATAGTTGCATTTGGATGGGAGGTTTTGAAACTAAGGGTATTAAAATCCACACTGAGAAACATATTTTGTTTTGTATGCCAATCATTTCAAATACTTAGAAATTCATTCAAGCCAACTTCTGAGTTATTTGAATTTGAGTTATTACTCCCAGATTCTTTTCCTCAAATCCAAATCCTTTTTCATCCAAATTTTAAGCTTTGACGAATGTTGATGATTTTAATATTAGAATCTGCGGAGTAAATATTTTCCTGTACGATATGCAGACTCATCACCCAGAGACGAGAAAACCGTCATTTAGATGGTTGGGCCTGAATGAGAGGCCAGACAATGGAATTACTAATTCTGTGGTTTTTACCGAGTCTAAGAAAAGAGTCTTTGGGACTGATCTCACTAATGTTACTGCAAAGAGGTTCAAGTTGGATGGAGGTTCTCAACATGTCCTGAAGCCACACAATCCTATGCGAATTAAGCACGAGACTGAGAGTGAGGATGAAAGAACAAGAATGGCTGGAAGGAATTACCATTATGGTCCTTTTGCACCTGCAAATGCGCCCAAGGTTGCAGGCTCTAATGGTGACAAGGAAAAACAGGTTGTTGATTGGGAAAACCTATCATTTTCTTACCGCCCGCAGTATCATAACCAAGGTAATTTTGAAATTTCTTTTATATACACATTATCAGAACATTTGTTATAATCTCACACTATTCTGTTTTCAGGAGGCAAATTCTAGTCGATAGATAGTTGTTCTCTTAGTCATTATCCAGATGCAAGCTACAAAATCCTTTTGTCATACTATATCTGGTATATGGGCAGATTCTATCAAATTAGGCATCAAGAAGCAATCTTAAACTGATCAATGAAGGTTTTAACCAGTTCACGTCATTTGATTAAAAACAGTATCGATACTGTTGCTCTTTTAAGTTGCGATATGTATCTTTTTGTGTAATCGTGTGCTTTTTTCTGACTGTAAGTTGATTGTTAGCTGAAATGCACTGATCAGTTATGATGCTTAAAATCTCTATAATTCTTATATGCTTCATATTCTCATGACACATTGCCACTCTTTGTCTGTCTAATATATAGTGGCAAAACTGCTCTAACTAGAAACTCGTTTTCTTGAACTTTTAATTTTCAGCTATAAAGGATCTTTTCTCACATTACGTCGAAGCTTGGAAATCGTGGTACTCTGAAGTTGATGAGAAGAGCCCGTTACAACTAACGTCCTAAACTTGTTTTTGCTTACTGTTCTTATTCGAGTATTGGAAGTTAACAAAAGAAGCATCCAAGTAGACTTGCTGACTGGAGGCAGATAACTTGATGATGAATGTATTTCACTTCATGGCTGATGCATCAATTTTTGAAACTTTATCACATTTTCCTTTTAGTTTTCCTTGTAGAAACTTGAGATCATACATGATTTGACTGGGATCCACATTGGTAATCCCTCATTTGTCTTAGATTTGGGCAAACAAATGTAAATCAATAACAAGTTGATTATATGTCTCACATGGTAGTTTTGTTGGTTTTCATTTCTAGACTGTTGTCTTTGATACATGGTCTGCTCATTAATAAGTAAAAGAAAACTCCATGCATATATAAAATCCTATAAAGAAACTTTTCCATGGTCAAGGCACTAGAAATCATTCTTTCAGAAGTATAAAAGCTGTTTAATCGAACGTTGCAGCCAACATAAATTTGTTGCACCGATGGTCTTAGGTCTACACGGGATATTTCATTGTTGAACTCGGAAGAAAAAAAAAGTAGAAAAAGCAAATACAAAACATAAATTTATACTATTTCACAATGAGGATGTTGTGAACACTAGTCATGGAGACAATCTATCAATTTTCCAAGTTCTCCTTCCCTCAATATCCTCTGGCGTATAACGTAACCTGTCAACAGAAGATTCGATTCAGCAAAAATGCAATAAATTTTATCAAACAAATATGTACATGTATGCTTCAAATAAATAGTAACATCATTATTAGGGTATAGGCATGTGTATAATTCTAAGAAGTTGGGCTGGCCTTAGTCTCTGACCTGTTTTTACTTTTTGGCTTTCATTAACAGTCAAACATACGCATATTCTTTGCATATACTTGTTCCAATGGCGAAAGATTTCCATTTTCATTTCGTGCAAAGAAGTTCCGATTTATGCTACTTCCTTACCTATCATGCAAGCGAGATGGTTGTCCTTGCCAAAACTCGAACAGCTCGGGTTTGAGTCTGTACCCTCCCCAATAGATGGGCTTTGGAATCACGCTTCTGCATGCAATTGATTTAGATGACATTGTTTCCCCTTGTTATGACAGGAATATCTATTTATTTAAATGAAAACGGGTATGTTATATTGCAAATGAAAGTATAATACTCGGACTCAGTGATGTAGATAAGAGAAAGAAGTAAACTAAATAATTTCACAGTGCCAAATCACGAAAATCCAAATATATTCGGGAAATTAGGTAGTGGTGGAGCATGAGAAACTAACCCATCTGAGTACTTAGCCTCAAGCGTTTCCTGTTGCTCGTGGAGAAACTGCCTTCCTGGGATAACAGTACTCTGGAGGAAAACAAGAGATATATCTCAATAATTTTCACAAATAAATACAACAAAATAAACAAGATCGCGGAACAAATTTCAAATAAATAAATAAATAAATAAGAAATAAAAGAACCTGTTTGCTAACTATTGCTCCAGTCTGGCTACCTCTGGGACGACTGTGGAAGTATTGCTCAGATTCGTCATCCGAAACCTTTTGCACTGGCCCTTCAATTCTTACCTAAAACCACATATATGAAATGAGAGCTGCCCTTCTGGATTGAGAAACTATTATGAAGTACTTTAGGAGATTTGCAAAGTTTCATGGCAATTGGGTGAAATTTGATTAAAACATAAGCTATAAACCTGACGATTCAAAGCATCCCAGTAAAACAGGAGAGCAGCCTGCGGATTTTCTGACAGTTGATGAGCCTTTCGACTCCCATAGTTCGTGTACCTAAGCAGAAAATTAGAAGAGGTTCAAAGATATTATGCAAGTGCCACATGAGTGTGAAAGAGCTGATTGATTACCAGACAAAACCATCTTGGTCGAATCCTTTCAGCAATACCATTCTAGATGAGCTGCAGCCAAGGGATACCATAATTAGGTCAAGGCTAGCTTTAAAATATAAATACTCAATAATGTTGAGTTCCCTAGAATAATTATTCCAACTTACGGCTTAATATTTGTTAATAGATTGAATATCTAGGGGCACATTGGACAAAGAAGTCAGGTTGATGATAACACAGACTTACGGTTTTCCATCTTTTCCGGTTGTGGAAAGGGACATTGCATTTGGTTCCTTCATGCCCGATGCTATGGCATCATCAAACCAGTTCTGGAACTGCAGCATTAGAGAAAGATTTAAGTTTTAAGTAAAAAATACATTTTAAGGGAAATTAGGAAGAATCACTCAAGTTACATGGTCCGTGGTATATATAAATATCAGATTCCACGATAAATCTAGCTGGTTATGCAAAACAAAAGAAACTTTAGATCAATTGCCAAAAAATGTTTAACTGAAGTAATAATACCTGAACAAAGGGATTAGCATCAACTTGGTCCTCAGAGAGCTCAGGAGAAATATAGTTCTCTCTAAGAGCTGATATATCAACTCGTGGCGGCTTCCCAATGCGGACACACATTGAAGTTCCAGGATATTCTGGAAGCTCCAACTTGAATTTTTCTGCTATAGAAGGAGGAACAAATCTACCTCCAAGAAAGTGGTGTGGGCCAGAAAATCTTTTAGCACATAACTTAGGAGCAGTTAAGGAGACCTATACACAAGTTGCAATGTTTTTAACATTTATCGCTATACATTCAAGATGTCCGCTAAAAGGAACTAGAAATTTTTTTACTATAGATACATACAAGCATCTGAGGTTTGATACCATCGCCACTGAGATCACCTTCTTCAACATGCCATCCAGATGGAATATCGACCGAGACTATGACAAGTGATTTTTTCTCATTCTTTTCGCAGGGATTTCCTAATTCTACCAGCCTTTGTATCAGATCATCAAAAGGGGGCCTTGGGCTGCCTACAGAATGAATTATTATTTTATTAAATCGATGCTGTACGGCGTTGAAGCTAGCACAATATATAGCACATATATCATCAAGTAGTTTTCTTTTTTTACTCCCTGTCCTACAGATGAGTTAAATTTATTTTTTATCGACTCAAAAATGGAATCAAAGGATTAGTAAGCATACCATGAAATGAGAACCCAAAAATTGCATCCAATATGATGTCAAAGCTAGTTGATAGATCCGCTGGAAGATCTTCCAATGATATGAAAGGAATGGACAGCGACTCTAACTACAACACCCCATGCATGAGCAGTACTTCAAGATAGTGTTATTTGTTCAAGTAAGCTTGAGTATATTTCTTATACCTGTGTCACAAGCCCACTGTAAAGAGCCTTAGCAGTACGTTTCGGATAACAAATAACTGGGTTATATCCGAAGTGATGCAAATGACGAGCAGCAACAAGGCCATCACCACCATTATTCCCAGGACCGCATATAGCAAGAACACGATTATGTTCAGCTGGCTTATACACCTACATGTTGAGGCATTTTTAACTCATTTTTGGGTTGTGTACAAGATGTTCACCTATAAAAGATTTTAAGCCTTCAAAGATCAACAAAGTACATCTTCAATTATACATGACATGAGTGTATCACTGAAGCAGTTTTGTCGATCAGTTAAGTAAAGAAGCTGAAAATTGTTCCCGTCTTTGATAAAAGATGTCGAGTAGCAACTCAAAACTATCATTTCCACACAAAATACCTCTCTGAAAATGACAACAAGCAACACTCCTTACTACAAACAACAAGAAGAAGAAGAAGAAAGAAAGAGTGGACAAAAACTAAAACGAATAAATAAAGCACAATTCCAGATATTCTCAGCCTATGATCATCCCCCGTCCGTCAAAATTTCGTGTCCCAACCAATTCATTCAGTTCCAAATGGTAGCTGCATAAAGTAACTCAATTCTCCATAGTCCTTAATTCACCAAGAATCAGCCCAAAAGTGGGCTTGAAAAGAACAAAAATGATAAAAGTGAACACAAAGAATTACAGTGACAAAGTTGCACCTCAGCAATTGAAGCGGCCACGCTCAAACCAGCCAATTCCTGCATTTCAATAAATTTACAGTAAGAGCTCGTTCTCAACAATTCACAACTCCAACGAAAACAGAGACAACAAAAAAATGACCATGAGCTGATCTACGCTGAACCCAAGTGGCCCCATGAGAATTTCATCAATTTCCGCAGCTTCTCGCTGATTCAAGTAGGATACAGACTCTGGGTCCCTCACAATTTTCGCCGACGCCATTGCTTTCGCTCCACCGCCGGAAATCGAACAATATTCACGTGGGCTGGGATTAGAATTCAAGCTCCAAAAACCCTTTAACCCAGAAACAAAATATTGAAAAAAATAATATCACGAATCAAATAGCTTCGAGTGCTCGCTTGGTGTGGAGAAGAGAAGGGGAGGGAGCCACCATTTACCTGCGTTTGCTGATGATGAGGAAAATGGGGCTTCAAAATCTGATACTGATGTCTAAAATCTGGAAACTTCGATGGGATTATGGAGAAAAGTGATGATGTATGGGTGAGAAGGCATCTCATGGTCCTGCTTCCCCGCAGCAATGGCGGTAGCATTTTCTATTTATTATTTTCACAATAAATAAAAAGCTATGATCATAAATTACCAGAAAAAATTATATTTAGACTTTATATAGATTATTT